GCGAGGATGGTGGTGGCGATAAAATCAGCCGAGCGAGGAGAAAAATAAAGGGTAGTTTTATGGTGCTGAGTCACACTGTTGCCCAGACAAGGTCTGAGAGCAGAGCAGGCAGGGTTAGAGCAGGCGCAAGAGTGATCAGGGAGAAACCTCACTGCTTTGGGCGTCACCAGCCAGCACGGTCACTACCTGCAAGCTCTGGGAGCTGAGCTGGCAAAACTTAGAGAGTAGGGGGGGGGAAATGTTGATGTTGACTCTCCAGAGAGGCCGTAAAATTAAAGTTATGAAAATAGTGAAGCATGGCAGAGGGCCACTGAGTTATGCCAGTTCTCCACAATTGGAGTTTGGATTGTGAACACAATGTGCTGGGAGTGTCGTATCTACTGTGTCAAATCAATATGCATTTATGGGTCGGGTATGTGAGATAAGGGAATGACAGGCAAACATAGACACATAACTGTCGCTTAAGCCACCATAGTACAGGTTTGTGAGTGACCTGCTGTGCCTTTCTTACTTTAGCATGAACTAATGAAAAAAGACTGAGGAGCAACAAAAATACTTGATAGGCGTTTTTGCAGAGATAGTGTCATTGGTTGGACTAGATGGTTGCAATTGCACAATATCTAATTTAGGCTTTCGCAGCAGCTCTTTCAAGGCTGAGAGCTGTTGCTGGACAAGTATTGTGCATAATAAAATGCATTCTGCATTTTATCCCATTTTAGGCACGTTCCTGTATCAAGCTTAATTTCTACAAGCATCCCTCATCTACCCTAACCTTACTAAACTCCATGCCCTGGGCTGTGTTTGTATCAGCACAGTCCTGCTGCATGTTGTCTCAGCACCAGTGGGTGCTATAGTTACGGGTATATCCTGGCATCTGTTTCCCCTAATCAGCAGACTGATTAAAGAGGTAAATGATGAAGGGTTGGAACCGAACATGGAACAACTCAAGCGAAGCACTGCATGGAGCAGCACCCCTCTCACTCAGTCCAGCTCTGAAATTATTTAGACTGAAGGGCTCTGCGTGACTGTGAAATAGTTTCTCCCAGGTGGTAATACAAGGAAACACCGAAGAGTTTCTGAGTCAAGAGTCCATTCTTAAAATTGTGGTTCCGTTACGCTGCTTTTAAGTGAGTTTGTGCAGTCTTTTAAAACCGAAAGCCAAGTTTAGGTGCAGTCCTCGAGCCAAATCCATAATCTTGCCATAGCTGGTGCAAATTATGCTGAGAGAAGTTAGTTGTACAGTTGGGTCTGAGAACTCTATAAGGTTGTTAAGAGAAAAGGCATCATTTGTGGTCCTGGCATCATCTCTAGTCCTCAAGAGGAATCTCTGAAATTCAGGTTGAGTCTTTACAGCCCGGAAGGATTTCAGAGCTCCTCCTAGTGAGTTCATACACTGTGGCTCAGAGATGCACTCACCTCGGGGGACGCCGGCTGGTGAGCAGTGTACGGCAGCCCTCAGTAGGGAAATTTTTGGCCAGAGACATGGGTTAAAGCCAGATCATATTATGCGTTCAGCTAATTTGCTTGTAGTTTCTTTGGCAAGGACTTGGGGATGTGCACACGTGCATAGGTTCACATATGCTTTCCATCTCCTCCTGTGTGGAAGCAGGCACCGCTCCTGTTTTTCCTGTGTAGGATCTGTGATCTATTCTGGTAGCTGCATAGTGCAGTACGGCCTCCAGTAAATATTCACAGATTTCCTTGTAAGCTGATGCTTTTTTTTCTTTCCTCTCTCCTGTGTGGATACACAAAGGCATGTGTTGTACCTGCTTTACCCTGTGGGATCTACATAATCGGGTCCAGGGGTTTTAATGGATTTCAACTCCCTTCTGTCTATGGATACGGTTTCCTGTCTCGTTTTGAGCAGGAAGAGCCGAGTCTT